AATATAAATTTCACGCGAATATAAAATTTATAACGATGATAATCTATGATGGTGCATTAATAACTATACACGCGTATTTTGACTAGAATTTAGTATGAATCATACACCATTTAATAGTGTTACGCAATACACAAGAGCGACGAGCGGTGGCGACCCGAAAATCTCAAACGAAAATACACAATAATAATGAATGTGTGATTGTATACATGCATCTCATCTTATTTTCGTGGCGTATGATAATACGCATGTGTCGAAACACTCATTATTGATCGAGCCGTTCAAGTGTACCAACGTAAAACGCGGCGCCATTGTATACAATATTATTATATGACCCGAAGAAAAAACAAACTCACCCTTCAACAAACTTTCAACGAGTTTGAACGAGCTAATACTAACCGAAATTCATGAAGGTCCACGATGAACAGTGAAAGTGGTGCAGGATCTGTGACGTAGGTGGTAATCAACCACCATTGAATTGTTACAATGTTTACGGACCATTGAGTAACACATCAAAATATCAAATACTTTTAAACTTTCAACATTAAAATATTTAGTACAGTAAAATTTTCCACATTATTCACTTCTCAATATAGATCAATTTTGATAACACTAAATAAAATAAATGGAGTATTAAATTATAAAAAAAAAAGTAACAAATAATAACTATTATAGTCTTGACACCCAAAACCATCCCCTGAGCAAATATTTTAGACAATATACTTTATGAGTATGTGCACTTTCCTGGTTATTGAGACTCAATTGTACTATTATATATTATTAAATACATATGAGGTCTACTAACTATAGATCATTTAATTTTTTTTTGATTAACATACTGAATAAAATATAAATAAAAAATAAATAATTGTATTTATATACTCTATTATAAATTTTAGTTATATCTATAAAGCCAGGCACCATGTATGCCGTTAGCTACTGCAACAATAGCTTAAACATAACAACATTTTCAAAAGTTATATCCTAACATAACTTTTTTCCAAAAATACAGAATCTGAGTTTAAAAACTTGGATTTGAATTTTCAGAACCTATTAATAAAAAATTTTGACAGTGTTATGGTGGAAATATAAATTATGTATGTATGAGATAAGTGGGAGTTCAGAACAGTAATACAGATGAACACCGTACCCTGCGTGCCGCTGTCTTTTAGTTTTTATCAAGTTGTATCAAACTAGTGAACACTGAACCACTGACCTCTGAAGATATATTGTCATAGATGGTAGTAACAATTTTTTGTGTTAAGTGGGCTTAGAGGTATAAGTAGTTTGGACATGGATGGATTTGAAGCGGTGACGTCCGTGACTCATTGATATTCGGCGGATGGGCAAACCATAAATGAATAATGAAGAACCGCTGGATTCACTTGTGAAAAATAAATTAATCTCTGAGATATGAGTATTATATGATTTACTATTGATATTTCTATCCTCAAACTGTTTTTAAGTAAAAAAAAAGTTCATGTTAATAATTAATTTATAGAATTAAATACAAAAGCCTTCCAATGGGTACTTCCTTCCCATACAGACGAACACTATTCTGCTGCAGAATACATAATAGTAGCCATACTTTACGTACCTAAAACCAAAATTGAGGCCACACAAGTATTTCCAGTTAATATGGAAATCAAAGATGTTCTAGTTAGTTTGGCTACTAATTTCTTCAGATACTGTTTATACGTTAGAGTGCAATCTAGTGTTTTACCCAAGCTGAAAAAATGGACAACATTGTTTATCTTTCCATCTTATTATTAATGTGGAATACAGAAAATTTGATCATTTTAAAGTTGAACTAGTTATAAAAGGCTATACACAAGTGTTTGAGACAGACAACCAAGAAAAATTTTAATCCAGTTATTAAATATGATTCGATTCGCTCAATATTAGCTATTATAATAAGTGGTAGCAAAGAAATTAGTGCTCAATCAATAATAGCATTTCTTCATAATGACCTTACAGAAGAATACACATAAAGCAACTCTTAAAATATGAAAGCATTCAAATTTGCAAACTTTGGCAAGTTTGTATAAACTAAAACAAACTTCCAGATGTCGGAAAAATAAATTCAAAAATATGTTAAAAAACTTGATTAGGTTCTTCTGGATCTATAAATAAGATAAATAATGTTTTACTGATAGTAGCAATTATTTTAGATGATGGGCTCTTAGTGGTAATTAATGATAACTTAACTTATAAGCTAGTGAAGAATTTTATCAGATCGTTTAAGTAGGTATAGCATCAAAACAAAAGAAGAAAATTTGAAAAAAATTGGGTTAACAGAGAAAAATATATTTTATTTTACACACCAGACATTGCATTTTAAGCGCATTTTATTTAAGAAAAAATTTTCAAGTGCCAACGTAGTATACATATCTACAAATGCTGATTACACCATGAACCCAACTGTGTCATAAACGAAATCTGTACCTACAAGCTAAACAAATTCCACGTTGTAAAACTTTTGTGAACCTATTTCTTTAAATAAACAATTATTATTAGTATTTTATCATTCTATCATTGCAAGAACAAGAGTACACGCATCATAATTAAGTTATACTGTTAACTTCAATTGTTATACAGATTTAGATTATGACTTATGAGTAAATTACATCAATGATGACTTATAAAAAGGGCCTTTCAGTGTATGCAAATTCACTCGTTTACTGAACATCATACTGTAAATACTATACACAGTCTCCGTTAAAGTTTTACCTATGTGACGTTTACTTTAAAGTTAAATGTTACAGAATTAACTTTATCTTAAAGTCATATAGTTTATCTATATTAAATACTCAAGTCTAAAGTCTACTCGAGCAATAATTTCAGAACCATTGTACTTGAATCTAAATAACGAGACCCGCTATAACGTTTGTAGTTAATCTTGTCAGCCATTAAATTTAAAAAACATAAAAAGTTCACTGGAGTAAATGCAAGGTTAGAAAGTACAATGTAGTGAAACGTGTTTTTAAATATTTTAAGTCTTCGCAAAATTATAATCTATTAAATAGATGTGTTGCAGTTTTATGAAAGTAAAACGATTGGTTAGAGTGATACAAATTAAACTGGTGACGTTACAACAAGAAGATTTACATAAGGTTCTGTGTTGACAAGGAATTAGTATCATGAAGCTCATAGATATAGAAATAAGTGTCACTTTCTACTATAAAGTTCAAACTATATTGCATTAAATCAAACTGTATAGGGGCTAGGTTAATACAACTGACGATTAATCTACTGGAAACACGGAAAAAAAATGTATTATATGTATGCCGATAAACAGATTGCTATATACCTTATGAATAACCCTAATTTTTATAAAAGAACTAAACTTTTAAACATATACACGTAAGATGACATTACGTCAAGGAATATTACGCAAATAAAGTTGATTTTGGAATAGATACGTTAACAAAAAAATTAATTAGCAACATCATGACAAAACTAATCTCAAAAGAACAGTTCAATTAAATTAATTTATTTCCCATTCAGAATTCATTATTCATATTAGATAACCTTATCTAACTATCTATTTGTTATTTAAGTACATTGTTAATTGCATTAATTATTGTTTTTAAAATTCAATAATGACAACAAAAACAACATGATTGTTAATTAAGATATAAATATTTTTATAAATTCTTATTTTAAAAGATGATTATATTTTGACAACTATATAATAATTTTTATTTCAGTTTCAAAGACTCTCCTAACTAGCTGCGAATGATGAATTGTATTTTCTGTAGCAGTAGTGGATATTTCAGTTTCTCCTATCAATATATTCACTTGCTGGTGACGAGTTCTAAATTTGGATTATCTCATACCCAGATAACCAATCGGAAATTAAACCAATTATTTGGTCCATTAGCTATAGTTTGGATGGCATGCTCGGTGAACTAGTAATGATGTGCATAATTTAAAGCTCAAACAGCTGACTCTTACAGTCTCAGCCAGTAGCGCCGAACCTATACATGAACTGAAAAGTGATCGCTTTATATAATAAAGAGAGCATAAACAGAGTAGGTAGTTTTATTTGTTTATGTGTTTTTGTTTTTACATTACATAATACCTATACTAAATAATTAAATAAAGAACTAAAGTTATTAGTTATTTGAGATTGATAACATATTATTTCCTAATTCATTAACCAAAATATTTTGATTTTGCTTATTTAAATTTATATGACCCGGCACCACTGGTCTCGGCCCAATTAAATGACTCCAAAAGTTTAATAATTTATGGTTAATTAACCTTGTAAAAGTTATAATAATTATGAGAGACATCAATTGTTGAGACCTCATTGAGTAAAAGGAAGATTGTTTTATTCGCTGGATGATAAGGATACATGGAACTGCAACGGAGGTAGAATTAAGGATTTGTAAAGCATTATTGTTAGAAAAAATAAAATCAAGCAACTCATCTAAGTAATTGGGTACATGATTTAAGGTTGAAATCATCACAAAGAATTAGAGTGAGATGGTTGTTATTTAAAACAACTGATTATACTAACGTTACAATAGACTCATACACTAGAGTTGAAAATGGCTTTGGCGGGATAGGTGCCATAAGATATCCTACCCATCGTTATTAATTTAGAATAAGCTTGCTGAAAAATATTCAGTGATGAAAATAGTTAGGATAATTTCATTTGATTAACAGAAATTCAATCAACCAGGATAGCGGAGTCACACATAGGTAGACCACTAATAACAAAATTCTTTACGCAGCGCTCACGATCAGAAGTCTCAGTAATTATCTCCGGTAAGAAGCCAAACAGCTAAAAGGGCTGTACCATTTACCCATAAAAGTAATATAAACCTTATATTGTTGTATACGGAAGGTAATCAAATATAAGGCTCAACAGTAAAGGTAACTCTTTAACCCAGAAATTGTATTTTTTACGATAATCATGATATTAATACATTGTTTTGTACTAAAATTATATATACCTAAATATATACACACTACTAACCTATCTGGAATTTACCAAATATTACAAAGTTTTAAAGAGTGTCGTTTGAAATGACTTAGACTTTAAAGTCATTACGTTATGGTAGGAGCACTGTAGACCATATAAATATAAGAACAAAGAAAACTCAGATACGATTTCACAAAGCTATCATAAACATCTTCACATCACTTATGTATTTACCACTATATTTCTGTTGCAAAACATATTTCAAATAATTATATTTTAACATTACTTCTATTTAATTACCTATTTCAACAACACGGTACATGTATTTTGATAAGTAGGTACACCAATAATAATTATTACAGTCTATACAGGAAACACAGTGATGTCTACTTACATGAAAAAAATTACAGGATTGATCTTAATTGCAAAAATTGTAAGTTTTAAACTACTGTTATAACAGCATGTTAAATATTATTCATAATATCATTACACTAAAAATAACATAAAAACACACAGTTTATACATCGAAAATCCTCATAAAAAATTAAAAATTAGAAAAAATGAAAACCATTTTTAATTATAATTACAAAAATACGTGAAAAACAAAATAGATTCCTTTGTAGGAATGGAGAAAGGGACAAGTTAATTTTTCAAGCCTAAATGGGAATGAACAAAGTTCCTCTTTTGAGGTGAGCTAATTATTTTTTTTAACCTAACTTTCCAAGCATTTTATTAAATTAATTTATATAATGTATAAGTCAATACAATGTACAACTAATTCCGTTTATGCTTAATGGCAATATTTACAGTCAACGTGACATTTTCTTCCAGGCGGTATGCCACATTTACATCCTGCTGTAGTATCTCCTTTTCCCTGAAACAAACAACTTTAATATTATGATCCAAGTTTAAGAACAAAATAATGACAATCGTATTATTATATATTTAAAAAATTAAAAACTCTTATTGGTTTTAATTATAATTAAGAATCGAATTTATAAGTAATAAAAATATAAATATATGTACATAAATATAGAAGTATAATTAATAAAATATATGCTTAAAGCTCACAATAATTCTATTATATAATAAATTCTTGTATAATTTAAAAAACATTTGAATTACATTTATAATGTTGATTGCAATATTAATTTTATGATTCCAAGAACAATTTAAATAATTTAACTTAAAATTTATTATATTGATTATTCCATAAAATCAATTTTTAATTATTTTTAATTTGAATTATAAAATAAATACTTTAGTAAATTTAACTTTATTCAGAATCAACTTTTGATTGATTTTAAATGTAATGTTATCTATTTCACCGTGAAAAATCTAGTTGTTAAAATATATTACTTATATTATGTAGTCTAATATGTGTTTATTAATATTAACGAAAAATAAAACTAAATTTTTACATTTACGAATGAATCTTGTTGAAATAAAAATATTTCCAAGCATTAACAACTGTTAACTTTATAATATTTTATCTGATATTTACACACACCAACTGTACAAAATGTTTAATAGAAAATTGCAGTTTAAAATAAAGTATATATGTTATGATTTTGGGATTGATGAAATTATTACATATTGGTAAGGTTCAATTAACTTTTTTATTTGTAGTATTTATTTATGTTATACATTTTTTATATGTACCTATATTAGAAATTATTGAGGACTAAATAGTAAATTTCATATAAATTATATTTTTATTGTATTTATTATTCATTTACAATTGATGATCAATTCTCATTAGAAACAAAAATACTTTTTTAAATAGCTAAAGTAGCTAAAATTATATAATATATGAGATAATAAAATGTAATACATTTTCACATGGTTAAAATAGTGTTTTCTATTAATTTTTAAGTTTGTATAATACACTAGTGTATTTGGTACCTATTAATTTAATAGATTCTGCAATATAATTTAGACTACTGAAAGCAAAATAAACTTGCCTACAAAAAACATAACTTAATCACTTTTTCATTTTTTAAGTTATAATATTTGTAAATTGGATAATTTAAAATTAAAGTTTAAACAGCTATACATTTTTTCTTATTTTAGCATTTAAAAACCAAAAGGTAGCACTCCTTACTTAAATGTAAAATAAGAAGCAACGTATTGTGAAATGTAGGTTCTTTAATTGCCTATTACAATTTTTATAAAAAAAATTTTATTCTATACATTATATTTAACAATATTGATAATCATACTACACTAGATACCTTGTAAAACCATAAAGGCGCCACATTTAAGGATTCTGTCTCTATTTTGCAATTAATTAGATTTTTATTTTATTTTTTTTAAATAACTTATTTCGTTGTCTTTACAAAAAATATTACATATAGATAAAAGCTTCATAAATCTTTACATGAACAAAGAAATCTATCACTATACTGGTTTCTATTTAAACATGAATGTTATAAAAACATTAAATATTAAATTGATACCTATTTTGACATATATTTTAATTATAATTATTAATAATAAAATAATTTATGTTTTAATTTGTACTTACATTAGGTCCCCATCTTGGACCTTTAGTTGCCCAGCAAATCTCCATAAAACATACCGCACATTTAATCCAATCGCAGCCCTGCTGTTTTGACAGAACTGTACTACATCCTGGACAAAGCATAGCATCTCCGCGCTCGATAAGATTCTTAAAGTTAAACAAATTTACAAAAATTAATATTTTTAAACAAAGGTAGATCAAATGGATTTACTTCAAGCGTGCCATCGCCGTCATTGTTTTCAATGAACTTTTTACATCCTCTTCCTTGTGTGTGAATCGACTAAAATAATTAAATATATAAATAATATTAATTATAGTCAAAACATTTTTTTAAATTGTTTGTAGTTTATAAATATATTTTTATAAAAGTCACGAGTATTATCTAGTTCAATAAAAAAAATATATAACATTAAATGAAAAAGTTGAATGTAATCAAAAATATTATTACATTAAAATATTTGTTTAAACAATTTAGCTGATAATTAATAATATATGTATTAAATATTGTTTTAAAATATTGTATAAAAAAAAAAAAAAAAAAAAAAAAAAAAAAAAAAAAAAAAAAAAAAAATAGAAAATCATAAATTATGTAAACATTTAAATTTACCAGAATATCATTTTACTATGCTTATCAATGTTTATTTATTTCAAAACATTACAGGCGAATCCTAATAACAAATTAGGTACATAGAATATTGAATTCAAGTACCTAAATGCGCTACAATCTATGATATAATTAATAGGTTAAGTGAGAAGAGTGTTATTAGTTATAGTTACCTACAAAAAACAAAATTACCTATAACATATATTGGGGTCAATACAATTGGGTGAATAACTTTTTTATTGATGAATTTTCAAGTATGTAATTTAAGCTTAATTGTCGATAAAGTAATGAAAACCACATCAGTTTTGAACATAAGCTACGTAAGGTAGATAACATGTGAATTGCGGACATAAATACTTTATTTATTTTTCATGATTTATATAAAATAAGCTATCAATTAAATCGCATGGAATTGATAGGTTTAGTTAAAAATATAACTATCTTAAGAAAAAGCAATTGTAATCGGATAAATCTTCAGTAGTTCAGCAAATAGTTAATGAAAAAAATTTTATTTTAATTAAAAAATAACATTATATCATTGTTTAAATAATAATTATACTTTTGTGACCAACATTTTTGATGAACAGACAGAATAAATTCATATTTTTAATATTTTCAACGCTCAGAAAATTGTCGATAATAAACTTATATCCGAAATATAAATAGGTATATCTTAATTAAAATCTATGTTCGCAACACTCCAATAATGTAAATTATAAGGTATTTGGTCCGCAACTATTATGCACTATGCAGCCAATTTCTTTAGTGGCAATTCGTATTCTCAGAAATCAGAATACTAAACTTGGTCGACTTGGTCAATACTTACACCACACCGAACGCACGTTACTGTCCCACAAACAGGACACTTAAATTCCAAGACGTTATTCTTATCGTAGATCAAACACCAACCAGTACAATCGGGTCGTCTGCATTGAAAAGATCCACCGTTGTGGTCTTTCGCCAACAACTGTCTGGCTCGTTCCACTGACCTTTGCAAAAACCTTTCATACTCTTCGTCTGAATCCAATATCTATGTGGAAAAATATAGGCATTTTAATTTTAATATAGATGATGTATGTGTGGATACCGAGAAATAATTTAATAAGCGATAGATTAAATAGGGTCCAAGTACCTTTTTTATTTCACGGTGTTGCAAGACCCCCGTACAAGAGTACCTTTCGTCTATATACGGACATTCAACTTGTTCGGCTTTCGAATGTTCGATCGTCATTTTCAGACAAAGCCTAAATAACACAAAATCGTCAAATACCCCGTAAATTAAGTATCAAGACATAATAGTTGATCGTGAATTAAATTTAAGTATATGTGGTAAATAGGTATTTTTGATATACGAAAATCTTACATAGATAATTCTCAACACTGATCAAGCCCGGATCAAGAGCTTCAGGGACCCAGGGGCCAATACATGGTTGTGGGTCACCGTCAATAAAAACAATTCTTTAAAATTATAAAATTATACAATAAAACAAATTTAAACATTTTTACTTAAGTATGATAACGATTGATGAGGATAAAAATATTAAAAAAATATTATATTTTTATTAAAATATATATTTACACATAAAATTAAGTTTAGTTTATGTAAACAGGTTTAGTCGGTAGGTATCTGAATTATGAGTATCCATGACCGAGACAGTCACATAAACAAATTTTCCCAATTCTATTTTTAAATACAGTAATATCAAAATATATGCATATTCCCAAAAAACACAAACCTAGCTATGACGCTATGTGTCCCCACTTACCATACTATTGGTGGTAAACACGATCGACGGGCCCCATCGATTGTTAGCTCAAACAAGAAAAAAATTAAAATATTTTTGTAGGTACTATAAAAAGTACAAAATATTATCACTTAATGTAATTTTTAGCCGAGAAGACTATGGGCCCTTAACATACGTGGGCCCCGGGGACTTGGCCCCTCCTAACCCCCCCCCCCCCCCATAACCTGGGCTTGACACTGATAGAAAGTATATAATTAGGGTCGAGCAATAAATAAATAGCTACTTCAACTAGATAAACCATGGTGTGTCCAGATAAAAGTTACAAACTACTCAAGTTTTGTGTAATTAGTTACTTTTTTTAAGTTAAATTTATTTGGACTTGGTTCTTTTAAATATTATTTAGTAAAATTGTATTAATCGAATAAAACTAATTGGTACCTATCCTAAAGGATTTTATCAATTATTTAAATGTATTTTTGACATGAAGTTACAATGAAATACGTCTTAATTGAATATGGAAATTGTGTCGGCGCCTTACTGATTACAGGTTACAAGTTGCAAAATGTGACGAGGTTATGTCAAACATGTTCCAAACAGATATTATTGCCCATCCCTGAATATAGATATTGTATATATTATTATATATACTGTTACTATAGTAAGTAAGGGAAAAACAAAATCGTATTTTCATACCTACAAAATACATGCAAACAATCACGTAACACAACGCCATTATTATCATATGTACATAAACACACTGCGCACTCAAAAGGACCGTTATGAAGTACTATGTCAGTTTGCATTTCCATGGCCATTAATTGCTGATAACAGTTATTATCTTTATCTTCAGATGGCAAATTTTTAGTGTCTGAAAATTAGCAGATAAAATTTACTATAAATAAGGTTAATACTTAATTCTAATAGTAAATTTAAATATATATACACAATATACAACATACCTACACATTACATATAAATTATAATATATATGCACAGTGGCGTATTTATAGCCTTAGTACTAACATATTCATATACATAACATATTAAATTTGAGTTTTAGGATCGAGTGTCTGTAAAAAAAAAAAATGTCCAAAACAAAACGTCTCCTTAATAAAATTCGATTAAATAATTTGAAAATAAAAAAAATAATATTTGATCGGTTTCTCGGATAATATCATTCATATAAAAATAATTTTTAACTTAATTATTTATTTATTATTACTTATTAGTCTCTATAATTTGAAAATATCTCTTCCTAAATTCACGTATAACTAATGCGATGTATCATACTAATATTAGATAAAAAAATTTAATTTACTAACAACAAGTAGGTACTTCGGAGTAAAACATTAAAAAAAAACTCTAATTTTTATAAATGATACTTGAAAATTTGATATAATATTCATTATAAGTAGTTCATACTGGAACTAAAAAATTTTAAAAATATACAAACTTAAATATTTTTATGGTAATTTGAAGTTCAAATCTGAACAAAATCACATGTTTAAACGATGAATATCATCATTATTCGTCATTGTTTTTATGACTAAAAACATTATTCGTAGGGACTTAAAATAATTGTTACATATTTTATGAATTTTACTTTATACTACATTTTCAAAATATTTAAATTAATTTTAGGTATAATTAAATAAACTGTATTGTTGTACGCCCCAGTCCCTATAAGTCTTAATCGGAACTTGATATTATTATATGATATTATATTTTAGAGAACTATCTTATAATATAGTATACTAATAAAACTACTTTCATAATATTAATTATCAAAAAGCTACTCAAGAATAAATATAATTTCAAATAATTGGACTATTTGATTTTATTATTATATTAAATATTTTATTTTATTTAATAATTTATACATTTAATGGGTAGTTGGGTAGATTTATAATATTAATAAATAATTTAGAGCATTTAGCGAATGAAAATGTCATAACACCTATATCTTATAAGTTTTTAATTGTTAATGTTAAAACTTTTAGTTGTTAGTTTTAATTAAATAAATTAAAGTATATATTTACAATAATATATTAGGTATTTAATTTATTATTAATGTATTTTTAATTTTTAAGAATGTTTATTATCACCTATAGGTACAGAGATATTTATTTAATTTTAAAATTACTAAAGACCGTTATGATTGTTATTTATTTATAATGCTAATTAAAATTAATAAATAAGTAGTATACATATACACATCATTTGTATTTCTATTTATTTTTAGTGTATCAGGTTGTTGTTTACCTATATTTCACATCATTTTTGAGTGACTTCAACTAAATAATGAATAATAAATATTTAATTATTCAAGTGGTGGGTTACGAAGCTTATCAATAGAAATTTAATTCTAAGAAAAATAATTTAAAAAAAAAAAATATGTACAAAATTAAAAAAAATACAAAAACTATGAAAAATATTCAAGTGTATAAAATTATGTATATTTTTAAATAGTAATAATTATTTTTAATATTTTATTTTAAAATTATTAACCGCGTTCAAAGTGAAGTTACCACATTCAATATTATCAAGCACTAAAAATATTTGTATAATTTAACAAGCTATAGCTTTTTAAATGCTAAATAATACCATTGATTAAATATATTTAATCAATTTAATCAATAGTAATATTGCTATACTGTACATACATACTATTTGTATACATATTTAAATGTACAGATAACAATAAAATTTTATATAAATTAAATTTAAAAATATATATATAAATTAAATATACTGATTTAATATTATCCCAATTCCTAAAATTTCGGGAAAATGTATTTTATGATTTTAGTGTTTTTTGAACGCAAACATCTACGTCAGAGGGTCACTAAGAATTAAAATTGTAATTTGTTTGGTAGTAACTGAAAAAATAAAATGTTAAAGGTATATGCATATAATCAAAAAATTAACATACCAAATTTATAAGGAATTCTAATTAAGCATATCCGTACATAAAAATAATCAGCTCCCAAACCAAAATACGCTACTGTATTGTATAGTATACTGCAGTAAGCTATAATTAAAATTATTAATGAATGTCAAGTGTTAACACAAAACATTGAAAAGGATTTAACTTCAACATGCATATTATATATCTACACTTTAAGATGTTTCATAAATATTTTAAAATGCATTTTTTTTTTTTTGTATGATAAAAATGATAATATACCTAACTATTTTAATAACTTTAAATTGTTAACCAAATCATGTATTATTTTGTTTTTATAGGTAAATACCTATTTTTTAAAAATAAACAAGTCGAGTACAAAAGGTAATTCGTTTTTTTCGCGTATATCCAAGATAATGTTTTAAGCGTTAGCAGGTTAAAACCACGTGAAAGCATTTTGTGTTTTAAACGTTATAACTTAAAACGTTGAAAAAGTATAAATTATTCAATGTACAAAAATTGACTACTTAAGATTCAAGACACTTTTACCCTCACTCTAATGCGTGAGATTAGTCACAATGTTATAATTAAAGCTGATTTAAAGAATGATGGTCTAAAGAGAATCTGTTTACTACAAATGAATTATAATCACCAAATAATAAAAAATACATGTACAACACTTAGTGTTTGAACACTTTTTATATTATACGAGTACATATGTTTCCTGCCGTCGCTATATTGCAAATTTGATTTTAAAAATGTAACAAGACCATTTTCTCCAAAAATGCAACAAAAAAAACTAACATTAACAAAATCTAATCATTCTAAAACATTGTACTTCGCAAATTATTAAATTCCCCTGTAACTAAATTATACATATAGACCTTAAAATGTCTTTAGTTTACGAATAAGTTAAAACATATTATAAACGTTTAACTCATCCCAATCCTCTTGTCAGAAATCTTGCCAACCCTACAATCTCCAGTAACCTCCCAAAACAATTAAAACAGAAATAGTGTCGTAACCTGTTAGCATTTAGGTATATTAATTAAATAATAATAAAAAAAAAATTAAAAATATGTACAAAAAAAAAAATGAAATAGCAAATTGAAAGTGTTACTAATGGGTGGCTGTTTTCCTCAAAAATGTCACATATTATATATAAATGTTATTAAGGATATAATGTATTTTTTCTAAATTTTTTATATAACTAATCTGTATCACATTTACTTTTGAGCACAAGTGGTTTAGATTGTAGATTGCACTTTAAAATAAAAATATTAGATAATATTATAATATGCACACACGGACTTATATCTAATGTTTTGTGTATAATACGTATTTGATAAATAGTTTTATCGACTTTAATATTTTTTAAATATCAAATTTTCAATACAAATATCAATACTTATTTAACAAAATAATAACTGAACAAATTGATGCAATATATTATACCTATTATCTATACGATCCACATATTATGTATTAATTGTTAAAATTAAATTTCTTTGAGCGGGTACCTCTATGTTAGGCTTTTATAAATTAATTTTTAATCAAATAGTAGGTTGAAGTTTGACGTTTTTCCATTAATATCATTATTGTACCAACTCTTTAATTTATTTCGTTTGTTTCGTGTACCTACGCAATTGCGACATAAACTATATTACACTCGCAATATCTACTAACACAATGCGTTGTATTGTAAAATCTACTTTAATTATTAGTACCCAAATGAGTAATATTAGATTTTGATTTTAAACTATTATAACAGCATATACGTATAGTTATTTTATTATATTTCATCGCAACGGTTTTTTTTTATTTGTAATTCATTCCGCGTGTTTTTACATGAAAATCTGTAGAAAATATTAGTCTCGGCCACCTACGTCACAGGGGGAAATATCTGTTAACGAATCGACGAAAAAATATCAAACGCAAAAACACCTATACACATCGTACGACACACATCATTGTCTATAGTTACACCAGCTTTTGTCGCTCTCAAAACGCATTCCATATTTCTTCCGGCATTTACGAGAGCAATACACAAGCTCGCGTTGCACTTAGGATTCAGCTAAGCGCGCAGGGTGACTATCTCACGGTCGGACACCGCGAAATGGTGTCTAATGCAGTTTTACGTCGCACGTTTCCGAGACTGAACAACGCGACGTGTAAACGTTCCGAGTACACGCCGTACGCGTACGTCATTATAGTTCGAATTCTTGAACGCAATTATACTACTGGAAGTACGACCAATGCGTACCCAGCTTCGCGACTGTGGACGGAGGGCCGCGTGACGACGAGAAGGTCGTGTCGACGGGACAACGCGTACAGCCGACGACGACGACGCGACGACGCGGTCCAGTACATCGAGCGGGCCATGCTGCCGGCGGCGCATCGTCGGCGGATGGACCGCGGCCAGCCGCACTGCGTTCACCGCGTCGCCGACGGCGTCCGCGTCGGCGAGGCCTCACGACCGGCACGATGACGGCCACCAGGCGATGGAACAAGCGGGTTACCACCACCCGATGACGACGGTTCAGATCCTGCACGGCCGCAGCAGCCGTCGCAGACGGTGGTGCGGGTAAATACCGCGGTGCGACAGCGGACGCGCGGCCGGTACGATTGCGGAAAATATAGGCGCCCCAGCCGCCGGCGGATCGGTCGGAACCGAGGCGTCGCCGACGCAGCAACAGCAGCAGCAGCGACGACCCTGCCGCCGAGCGGTTCCGGCGCAACGGCGCAGGAAAGGTCCGGCGCCCAAGCCGCCCGTCGCAGCAACAACAACTGCAGCCGCGGTCGCCGCCACCACCGCCGCCGCCGCCGCAGAGTCGGAAGTCGGCGAACGTCAGACGAAAATCTCGGGCATGAGAAGCGACCGACTGAGGAACGAGTGGACAAGATCGAAAAGCATTTTTTCGACAGGACGGCGACGGGCCTGAAAGCGGAAACGACGACAGCGG